CAAATTATCTAATCCGTAATGTATTTAATGTACTGTGCACCAGTCTAAATATTAGCTATGGTACTATGACAGTTCTAAAAATCAATATATTTAGATTCCTTAAGGGGAGAGAAATGAAATTATCTGTTCAGTCACATATTTTGATATTTTATGCCATAATTATTATATCAAAACAATTTGCACAGAATGAACATATGCCAACGAAGACTGATTGAAATTAGATCAAAATCTTAACAACATGACCAAACATATTATTTTAAAGTGGAGATAAAATTCATGCCTGTTGCACAGGTCGGTGTCTGTCTGGACTCAATAGCCAAGTGAGTAACTTATCGGTGGTTGTAGCAAAAAACACAAGGTTTGAATTCTGAAGAGAACATCAACTCTGTGTTACAGGTACACTTAACTGATGAGTTCTAAATATGACGAAAAGCTTGTCCTGGATTTCACTACAGGTCAAATTCCATCTTTTTTGCGTAAACTAATAATAATGGCTAATTTAATTTGTGCTAAAGTGTGATTTCTCACCATACACGTAATTTCTATCCAAAATAAAATAATACCAATAAAGACTATCTGATAAATTATCATCCATTCAGTTTCTGTGTAGCTGTTTTTATATAAGCACATTATGAAGTAGTTAAAGGTAACACACAAAAATCAGTTTTATTATTACTTGCTAATCCAAATAGTGAACGATTCTAACTAAAATAAATTCATGCTGGAAAATTTCTGGGAAGTTTTATACTCAAGATGTAAGTTTGTCTCAAAAGACGTTCACAATAATTATTATTAACAAATTGCTAAACATCAGTTACATTTTGCATATATTTCGATCGCTGTATCATTGATAACATGGTGTCATGAAAACTTCTTACAAATTTGTCGTATTACATTAACATCAAAGATACATTACTACGAATATTACCTTAATGTTTTATCTACATTTGTAGCGCTTCAAAGATCAACGAAAGCCCAAGTGTTCGGTGTTATCAAGTGTATTCAGAATAATTGATGGCAGTGTTACTTAAACTGTAAATGTAATATTATATTAGAATACAAAAATGAATAGCAATAAAGCATGATAACTGAAATAGTTTATTCATAAGATTGTGGTTATTACTAGTGCAATGTTACTTCTTAAAGGAAAATAATCGAAAGAATCACCTGGAAAAGCAGAACGTTTTCTCTAGTATCACTGGAACCTTACATTTCGGAAGCCAAATCAAAAGATAGAATTGGATTACTGGAATAACACACATTCACCATATAAGAACATATCACGCTTCAATGAACTCGAACGCGTCAGATTTTATCGTCCTTGTAATATCAAGACTAAGAGAATTGACTATGTACAAGGATGATAACATGAGTGGAAAACTATGATTTCATTAGCTATATTTAATCATATCAAATTTTGTACTAGCTGAACTATTCATCAACACTAAAAAATAATCATACATTATTCATGGAAATGTTAACTTTTGTCTTAGAATTACCATTATAATCTTTTAACACCCTTTTTTGTCAGGGATGAAGTTTAGATATGTAGTGTAATAGATGTTTGGTATAGTTATACTCATCAGACTACCCAACTTAATATGGTAAGAATTTAATGTATACCCCTGTATTAGGGCATATATAATGAATTTAAAAAAGAATACAGACGTAACTGGCACTTCTTACGAGCGGTTTTTAATGGACAATATATCAAATAAAAAATAAGAACAGAATGTTTATTATTGATTGTTTCATTATCGAATCCATTTCTAATACATTTGATCAACATGAATCATTCGCGTTGCCTCGTTGAATAAATGTTTAGTTGGCAAATAAATCCTGGGTTCAAGTTTCACTTGTGGAATGATGGATGCACACTGCTTAAGACAAAATGACCCTCTAGTGCTTCTATGTTTTCAATGGTGGTCTAACATTGACCGGTTCATGATCTCAAAAAAATAAATGAATAATAATTCCTGTTTAAATCATTTTAAGACATTGAAATCATGAACTAACCAATGTTACTAATTGCTGATCCCATTTTTAAATTAATATGTAAATGTGAATATCATGCCTCTATAGTATAAATTCAATTGAAAGATTCTAGCTTATGGTATTGATTGCAAATGATAAATGTTGAAAGCTTATTATCAATTTATCCATACGACTATAAATACTTTCTTTTCTCTTTGTTATAAGTTAATACTACTAGCAAGATTGTTACGAGAAACAAGTTGAGTATTATATTAAGGTCTAATTAACCTTTTTTCTTCGAGAGTCTCTAGGGACTTTACAGGTTTTTCAGTATCGGTAATGATAGAGGAACATTTTTCGTTTCTAATATTTATCATTGTGTTTAGAATTAATCCCTTAGAATTACAAAAATAATTACGTTCCAGGCATGTTCCATAAGTTAAAGCCGAATTGTACTGTGTGTATACAATAAGATAAAGAGTTATTATCTCCGAAGCCCAACAATTCTTTAACATGTCATTGGATGTTTTAATTTTTAAATTGAGAATCCCACCATTTTTTTATCAATTTGACGAGATATTCTAGAACATAGTCAAGTGTGAAAAACTAGTTGTTCAGTATAACGTAATGTAACTAAAGCTAAATCTTTCTTACTCTGTTTCTAGACTTACTTCTGATAGTAACATAAAAGACTTTTTTGACAAATGAAATATAATAATTAACGCAAGTAAACGATCGTATGCATCAGCGGTTCACGAGTAAGGCTTTCACTTTATTTCTAAATTGCGTTGTTGAGTCTAACTGTGCTTTTGTGGTGCCGTGCTTACCAAAGCTTAAACGTCATTCCAGTAGACTAAAATTTAATATCATCTAAAATACATTGAATTAATATCGCATTTCTCCTCTTAAGTGGTTATTTGAAATAATTACAATGGAAAATGTTTCATAGAACATATACATTGTGAATCACATTACTGGGCACTAAGCAATATCATCAAACATAGTAATAAAATAATTAATGAGAACTAAATACGTTCAGATTGTAAATGGAATAGAATAGAATATATTAAGCATTTGTTCGACAGATAAAAAACAATTTGATGACAATGATGAGAATTATATCAGGTACCATTAAATAATACGCTTAAGCAAGTCAATAATAACCTATGAGTCAAGTATTATCAAACAAAATATTTATACGAAAAGTTCACATTTCTAAACGTTTCATAAATATAATCAGAGAGGGGTTTTGTGGATATTATAGTCATTTAATAGTTGAATACATGAATCAATTGAAGCTAGACAACCACAGAAAATCTGAAATCACTGGACGGCGGTTTCGCCATATCGTGGGACCCCTCAACAGTGCACATCTATGATCCCACCACGCGAGATTCGAACACAGGACTTATTGGTCTTGCGTGAGAACGCTTAACTTCTAGACCACCGAGCCGGCTGGCATCCAATCGTGTTAATGTCTAACTTCGACCAATTCACAAAATTGCGCGACATATCCACCACTGTCTTCAGCGAGTTACTATCTGACAACAGACCCGGTTGAACTCTACCGATCTCTACTTCTCACTAGAACTCCAGGAAATACCTCTTGGAGACCGTCACTAGTGAGTTTATGATGATGAGTTCTAGTGAGAAGCCGTGACCAGTGGAGTCCATGGTGGTCTAGCTTTAGTTAACTCATGAATTCAACTATTAAATTATCATAAATACTTCACGGGTGAACTATCTGCCCTCGTATATCAAAGTGGCAAAATAAATAATCCTTAAACACATTACTTAATAAACATGTCATTCTTGTTGAGAAACAAGTAACAGATATTATTCTTTTCCTATTTACTTGTCTATTCACATATTTATAAATATTCATTTTCTGGAAATGTTGATATCTTTACATTTTTTTAATATATGAAGCATCATCCTTGGAAGTATACCAGAAAATGGTTTACACCCGAACAAGAGGAAAAAAATAAACAGAAAATAAAATGAATGCAATGAGTGTGACAAGAATCTTAATTAGTGAATAGATACTATATAGTTGCTATGATACGATTTTTTTTCAATCATCAATACAATTGATTAAAACTCATGATAAATAATGATTTATTTAATCAAATTAAATAACCCTATCACATAAAAGTAGCAAAGTGTACGTCATAAATTAGTTAGTATTGTGATGTGTACTACTAGGTATGAGTAGTATGTATCATCGATAGAAAGTGAAATATCTGGAGGCAGAAGATCAAGAAGAGCAAAGAAAAGAGAACGAGAACAAAGAATGATTGGTGTGGAAATAAAAGGAAACGATAGATTGACATTTTGCAAGTGAAGTATTTATTGTATGATTCTCAAATTTTAGTAAGTAATGTTGTATTAAAATACGATCGATTGCCCCCACTTATGTTCTCGTTTATTACAGTATAGCATATGACATAGTATATCTAACATTATGATTAATCTTTAAATGTATAGCATTCTAGTGATAATTTTAACAAGATTTCAATGTGTATCTAGTCAATGAAAAGCATTTGAATGTGCTATGAACAGATTTAAAATGTTGATAAACTTACATTCTTAATATGTTAATAATTAAAGGGAATTCCCTTATCCAATTTTACCATAATTTTAATGCTTGTTAAAAAATGAACTCAATTTTCTATTCACTTAAGACATATTTTTAATACAATACTATCAAACTGATCGTATGTCATTTACTTGACTATGTTTATTAAGATAGAAAAAGTGTTTTTTTAGTTGAATTCACATGCCGATCTAAGCTAGATCACCATTAAAAACCTGGAAGTACTGGATGGCCGTTTCGTCCTAGTATGGAACTCCTCAGCATATGTTGAATTATTATATATTTATTATGTTTGTTAATTTATTTCTTCTATATCTTCGTTAGGACAATTATATACGATTACATGGTATAATTGTTAACCAATCAGATAATTTCTTAATTACTGAAAGCCAATCAAAATTTAATAAAATGTCTAATTATTACTTTGTTTTATGACTTGTCAAATTATGAACTGTATACACAGAATAATACTTTACATGATGTTATTCAATAATGAATTTGATGAGTTATGGGTTTATAAGAGAATATATCAATACATTAATAGAACAATAATTAATATCATTGTGAATATCATTTTTAAAAATCGAAATATAAATATGAAATATGTCCCAGCATAAAGGATTATCTACACCACAGAATAAGTTTCTTGAAACTATAGTTGCACGCTCAGATGCATTACGTAAGTAATTTTTAAAACAATATTCATAATTAATGCCACTTTTATTATGAAATATAACTGTTTTATAGGTTTTCTTTATGTTATATGAATAGATGGATGTAGAAATTAGATGCTACGACTTCAATATTAGTTACTTCATGAGTAGTCAACAGATTTATTGAATATTTTTCTAAACAGCCCGTTTTTCCAAGGCATAATAAAATATATTAACCATACATTTATTGTTGTATTCATAATGGGGACAAAAGAATTACATAATTGATCCAACTTTTATATTGTTACTATGTTATCCATAAGGAAAATTGTGAATCGGTTAATTTTATAAAATTTAGATTATGATAAATTTATACAGTGAACAAGTTGCTCAACATTTGAATCGATCAGTGAAAATGAGTAGAAAACGTGGATTTAGTAGTTTTAGCATTTAGTTTATTTAGCCTAAAACTAAATATACCTTGCTACGATCTATGTGAAAAAAGTGACTATTAACCCTTTCTTTTTAATTAGTCAAGTTTCCTTTGACAACAAAATGTACTCCTACTTAGTGTTTTAATTTTGTATTACAAGTAGACTTTTTACATTTGTAACGAATATTTTCTCATTTTGTTTGAACAAAGATCTCAAATATTAACATATCACGTTGCCTAAATGTGATTGCATTCATTCATGACTTTACGCATATCAAAGTGATCATTTAGTTATTCAACAAACTTTCTCCTCTGTATCATAGAAAATTTCACTATACATGAATCTCAACCAATTTGAAAATCTGCAACTTGTGTTAGGCCAGTTTTGGACATGGTAACATTTTAGATTGAGTGACTTTATTCGAATAGAATATATAAAATTTTATAAAATTTATTTTTGAAGAATAAACCATTTTCTAAATATTCGGAAGTATGCATAATATGGTTTATTGTGTTTAAATGTATTTTAAATCTACTTTCATTATCTTGCACTCTCATATTCAACTCGATAGGTCTGTATTTTTATCTTGTATCAGATATATCATGTGATTTGATCATTTTAATTTGGGTACCCTGAAAACAAAAAAAGATACACTAATATATTTTGTGTTCAAAAAAAATTAGTGACAGTTATTACTTAAGATTTGATCAGACATCAAGATGATCAGTTATGTTGATTGCACGGTTTTGAAGATTTGACAAATCAAAAAGCTAACACATGTTACATCTAGAGCACGTTTTAGTGGAAAATCCACCACTCAACTAAGCCCTACTGATTGTTTTGTGAAGTATAGCTGCTAGGAGAATGCAATCTTCAGAGATTATTTTTTGGCTTGAGCTGAAATTTCTAATTATTTTGTAAACGCTGCCTTTAAATGATTAAATTCTTATAAGCAACATAATTATTTCACATGCTCAAAAAGATACAAAATGATATATTTTAGTCATGCATTTTTTCCAAATAACTGAATCTAGGGTCAGTAATGAACCTGGAAATGCTCTCTGGCTGTTGTCTTTGAGGTAAATTCATCAAATTACAATTCAAAACTAATCTAGCCTAAATACATTAGTAGTGAAACAAATCTTCTACAGCATTGTATGATCATTTTTTGATATTGCAATTTGTACAGATTATTACTTTATGGTTTAGAAATAATTATATGACTAGACTTCAAGGATCTATGTTTAGTATATGTGGTACTGAATATGCTCATTTCGACAAAGTCTTAAACTATGAGAACACAAATCTTTAATGTTTCTTGTTATTCTGTGATAAAGATATACTAAACTATATTACTCGTTTTCACCCTTAAGTCATATATAAACCTATTTATAAAAGAAACGTTTTGATATTTTCATCATGAGATTTCTTTCAAATCTACAAACACATGACAACTTAATCGGTTTTTTCTATGTCAATTCACCGATTAACAATTTATATTCAATTCTCATTTTCAATTCAATCTTAGTTGATTTTAAGTTTTACTAGATTGTTCTGTTGATTCGAAACACCCCTTTCAATCAAAACAGTAAAACAAAAAACAACAACAATCACTCAAATCTTTCTTCAGAAATTTAATTTTTATAGAATCTACTGTTCAATTTAATTTTTGTTTTGTTTAAATTTAAATTAAATTTCAGCTGTTACCATATTGTTTTAACATTAAGAAAAACAATTTGTTTTATTTTTTATTATTTTTTTGAAAAAAATAAACAATCTTTGAAGCTACTTAAGGCGTACCTTTTAAGTATTTTGTTATATAACTAAGTACTTTGTTTCATTATAAATAATCAATCAGTAAAAATTTTAATCACCATGGTGACAGTTCCTAGAAATCAATCCATTTGTAATACATTAAAATATTTTTTTAAAAATAAACAAACGAAATTGTTAAATTAGTATTTATATCAGATGGGTTTTGTTGATATTATAGTAATTTCAATGGTTAAGATCATGAGTCAGGTGGTCTAGCTTCAACTGACTCATGATCCTAACCATTGAAATTACTATAATATCAACAAAACCCATCTGATATGAATCAATATATGCTCACTAGTGACTGGCTTCAAGAGGTTTATCCTGGAGTTCTGGCGAGAAGTAGTGACCAGTGAAGTTCAACCAGGTCCGTTGTGAGATAGTAACTCACTGAAGACAGTGGTGGATATGTCGCGCAATTTTGTGAATTAGTTGAAGTTAGACATTAACACCATTGGATGATAGCCATCTCAGTGGTCTAGTGGTTGAGTGCTCGCACGCGAAACCAAGTGGTCCTGGGTTCGAATTTAGCAGGGGACGAGGTCGTGGATGCGCATTGGTGAGGAGTCTCACAATAGGACGAAACGGCCGTCCAGTGCATTCAGGTTCTCCATGGTGGTTTGGCTTCAACTGACTCATGATCTTAACCATTAAAATTGGTGTTTGTTTTTGTCAGAAGTAGTCTAGTAAAAACTCTTTCAAATCCTTTGATCTGTAAAGATAATATCAAATCACTTGAACTCGTATTTTTATATTAAAACTTGACCAGTTTACTTTGTTCAACATTTGAGAGACTAGATAAACATGACATTAGTTACTATTCAATCATCAGTCAATTGTAAATATGTATATGAAAATAGGAATAATTTCTTTTTCTGATTAGCGTTTTCTTTGGCGAGTCAGTTTTCTACGGGATGGGGTCGCTAATCCAATGCCCAACCCTCCTCGCTTATCCAGGCTTGCGACCGGCAGAAGCCCCCGGAGGGACTCCAGGCGGAGTTATATAAAAATAACTACAGTATTAATAAATTTAAAACATTATAATCTTTCAAAGAGGAAGAATGTATTTGTAAAATCTCAGCGAATGAATTTGAAGTAAATCTAACATTCCGCTTAGCAATCTGGTTCAAGCTTTCTCAAAGGAAATACAATCAAACATCAAAATTATCAAATATAAATAGGTACATGCTTCTCTGTATACTGAATAGGTCATCCAATCAACGTGAATAATGTTTAAAGTAGTTATTTGCATTATTGTGCCATGTACCTATTTATATTCGATAACTTTGATGCTTGATTATATTTCCTTGAAAACGTTTGATCCAGATTGCCAGGCAAAACGTTAGATTTACTTCATATTCATTCGCCGAGATTTTACAAATACATTTTTCCTCTTTAATGTCTCACATCAACTCGGTGCTCAAATACTGTGAAACTATTCGATCAAATTAGGCGAAAGTTCTTATTTATTATAATGTTTCGTAGACACCTAGCACTTAGTCATATATCTTCTTTATTTTTGACATAGACTTAAATTTAATCAAATAAAATGATTTATTTAAGTACGATAAACTATGCTTTTATCACATAATGGTTATAGCTGATTAAAACACGTTATTATCGAATGACAACTGGCTCATTCGACAATATTGTTGTTATGAATCCCATTATCAGTCCATCATGAAAAATCATCGAACAGATTATCAACAATCTATTGGTTAAAAATCATCTATTTAGGTTCATCATTATTTTTAGGGATTTTTTATTGAATCACATTCGCTACTCATATATGATATGTACATATAACGTTTAATAGATAATTAATATTTTATTATTATGTTTTCATTTTATAATAACTGGCATCGAAATATTTTATTTACATAACTTGGTGTATTTTTTTGTTGTTGATTTATTCTAGTCGAGATTTCTCAAATATTTTTTGATAGTGGGGGGGGGGGTAGGTGAGTAAGAGGAGAAAGTAGGATTTATTTCCCTTTCTAATTGATAAATTTCCTTAAAAGTGAACTATGAGTTATCATTTTAATGGGAATAAAATCAGTTTAATCCATCATGAGATAAATCGTTTAATTTATTTTTGTGAAAATATGTAGTTGCATCTTTCTAACTAAAAATAAATAAACCAAAGTTAATGATATAGATGGTTTGTTATTACCTTTAAGATCCCCAATAAATCAAGTGCTGATCTCAAAAAAGGATTATTATTTTTTTCTAAAAAATAACAACTAGTATTTGGAGTTTTGAGAGGTAATTTAAATAGAACTTAAATCTTCTAAATACATTGCCAACAAATTTTTCATCACGTGTAAAGCACCAGTGACAATTTATATTGAATAAATTAAAAATTTCTTATATAATTCATTTACAAAAAATTTCATAGAAAATATTCAAGAGGAATACTATTATAGGTCATAACTGAATACTTCACAAATCGTCCTTGAGAATTTGCTTTTAATCATAATGAGTTCGTGTAAAACTTGAAGGTGAAGGTCGTTTGAACTCGAGGGAATAGTTCTTTATTTATTACTCAGGTTCTCTTGAATGATTCCTAATCCCTATTGTGATGGTTATCCTAAGTATTCCGAAAAAAAATTATTACTATATCACAAATTTTAAGTGATTATACAAAGCATTCTACTATGTTTGATGGCTTATAGTTTGAGGTAAAATGACAAATTTATTTTGAAAGGGAAAAGGATATTTATTTTATTCATTTTGTATTGGCTGTTTGAATGTTCCCATTGATGGTTAAGACTGAA